ATTCAAGCCTGCAAGCTCTGGTACCACACCAGGTCTCTTCTGTACGAACGAACAGTGCTGCATCTGGTATATATACTATACGGGAACGGCTTTGCAGCGTGAACCGACCATTACCTGGCATTTCATTATCTTCATCGAGGAAACATAACTATACGAAAATCCCAAGATGTTAATCAGCCCTAGACCCTAAAGGCAAACCTCAAGGTGGCGGTGCCCGGGACTTTAAACGCCCGGGATTCTGCTGCCGGGCACAGCCATCGAGGCGGACTGTGGAGGCAAGGAATCGACAACTAGTCTTCGTGTCGTCGGATCCTTGCACCACAGAAGTGTGACGGTGGCCAGTCGGGTGTCCCCTCCCAGCCTGACACTCAAATTTTACGACTCCCTTGTATATCTGTACGTGGCCAGTTGCCGATCGAGATCAGATGCTCGCGATACTCACATCGAACTCAGTCGGAGCAATGCATTTGATCCTCGAAGAAATCAAAGAAGAAACTATTGTTTCCGCTGAGCGTTCAGCACCAGGGCTGAGAGATTGGCACGAGTTGCCAGACAACGAGGCCCGGGCAGAAGAACACGACTCGAAAGATGATACCGTTCTCACCAGTAAGCTCCCTGTTATCTGCGAAATGAAGTTTGGGTCGTATAGCTCAAATAATCTCAGATCCGCATGCCCAGCTCCAAGCCTTCTTTCAAAATCTCCTGATTGAAGCTGCAGCTCAACGGGACGATTCCGCAATGCTAGGCAATGACTTTCATGAAAAAGAGGCTCCAGGGTTTGTTGGTACTGCAGCTTCCAGTTCAGACGGCATCGTGGAACTCGAAGGGTCCGATGCCGATTCGATCAATATTCGTCAGCTAGAAGCATCTAGATTGGGATGCTGCTTAGCGACTACCTTCGATTCTATTCTATCTCGTGCTCCAACTCGGGCGCGTCAGTTGTCAATGGTGGCGTCCGATAACCTACCCTTCCAAGAAGATTGGCCGAATGTTCTCGGCCCATCCAATTCAGGATTGGAATCACTGGCTGTCACGAAGATACTCGCCGGATTGAAGCACCTGGAAGCGTGATGTCTGCAGAGAAGCTGCGCCACAAGTGATACAGCAAAGCATGATGGAGGATCTGAAGGTCCGGTATGTGGAATATAGTGATTTCTACTAGAAAAGAGTTTTTTGTTGAAGTTCTTGAGATATGGTTCTATTCAATATTCATTGAACAAAGTGCACGAATATTATTAGCTCCCGTCACTAGAAGTCGCCCTTGTTATTATTGAGAACGAGTTTTGAACTCGAGGGAACGAAGCTCGAAGCAAGACATCGCGCTTTCCAACTCCGACGCTCCTAGACGCCTTCTCTGGAGTATATCCTGCAGGCTCCCAACACTCGTTCAAGAATCCGGTCTGGTTACTATCCTAATTCATGCATCTCATCAAAGCCATCATCTTTCAATTTATCATTCTCACAAAAATCGCCAGCTACGCGTCTGCAGCATCGACACCTTTCAGCTCTACTCCCTCAATTTCCACGCTCATCAACCAACAGTGCTGGCCGTGGTATGCCATACGAGATTTGCTACGTGCCGACGTGTACGTCTGCCTTTCAGACGCGGAATATGTATCTTACCAAATGTGTCAGATTCGACGGCGGATCTTGGTGCGCTCTCTGTAAAATCCGGGTTTCGAGGATATTCAATCAATGCCGTAGCGCCAAGAATGCTCGTGCGGCTCTTCGGTGAGTTACTCTGCCACCCATAGAATGCTGATTCACTGAATCGTTGGCAGTCTGACGGTTCGGAAATCCCATTGTCATTTCTGCACGTACCAAAGCTTCCCCAGTTCCATGACGCAGTAGGTTACTCTCAAGCACAGGAAGATCTCGGAAAATATGTGTACGTCTGTTCTTCCAGATATCCCGTTCTCAAATGATAGAAGTTGTAGAGGTGGTGGGGCGGATGGGTCAATCCTACAATTTCCGCAAGAATTGAGCTATGGTACTCGTCCACCATTGATTTCGATAAAGTCTTCAAATCCTGATCTGCCAATTGAGCTTCGAACCAAGGTCTCCGGGCGATAATCACCACACTCTCCTCCTTCGTTGCGAATTATCCTTTGGCAACATCAACAATCTCCTTCGGTGACCTTGTGGCATTCGCCGGCACACTCGGTCTCAGCTACTGCTCTCGTGCTCCTGAAATGATGTTCTATGCCGGAAGACCTGCTGCGAAAGGACCTGCTGCAGATGGATTGGTTTCTGGACCAGAAGATTCTGCCGACGACATGATTGCTCGGTTTTCTGATGCAGGATTCTCAGCGGATGAATTAGTCGCCCTCTTAGCTTCTCATTCGGTCGCCGCTGCAAGTACTCTCGATGCCGCTATTCTGGGTGCTCCCCTCGACACGACTCCAGAGAAATTCGATACGAGGTTCTTCAATGAAGTTCGCCGTCAACTGTATGACCCGAGGCGCTACTCACTAATGCGATCTAGACATTGTCAAAAGGAAAGCTATGGCCGGGAACGCCGAATCATTACGGAGAAGTGATGAGCCCTGCTCGTGGACAAGTACGCCTTCAATCTGATTTCGTTTTGGCTCGAGATGCGAGGACTGCGCCGGCATGGAGACGTTACGCAAGTGAGTCTACCAAACCTGGCATGTGGCGTTTTTATATTCCGTGGAAGACGATGCAGATCTTATGCGACGCGACTTTGCGGAAACTTTTCTCAAGATGACTTTAGTGGGACAGAATGTCAGCGAACTCGTCGACTGTACCGAGGTTCTCCGATCCAGCATCTGAAATCGTTTTTTATTTCTATCATGCTCATGACTGTGGGTGTTTTGACCGGCTTATATGATCATCACCCAACAAACAGTATTTATATCCGGCGGACTGGGGTTTATCATGACTATGTACTGTACAGCATTCCGATTCTTTTCCTTCGAAAATGTAAAGACAGCATATTTATTGTTGTATTCTGCATGGCTTGTATCAACGCCCAAACTTCTCCTCTGCTTCCTTGTCGGAGTCTGTACTATGAGCTGGGGTTCGTGAAGAGTGTCGGCGGGATTCTCCGAGACTTCTGCTTCTTGTCTGCTTCTGTTCTCTTTCCGTGCTGACTCTTACGGTCTGCTATATTTTCCGAGGCTGAACATCATACGAGAGTGTCTATCTCCGTTTCGGCCCACATCTCGACTCTGGACACGTCGTTGGTTACTAGCTTGAAGTCGATCTTAGTCTCGCGTACTACAGAAGAAATGGTCTCGATATTCGCGAATCATCAATCTAGACATACAATTCTAATACCGGGAGAAAATTACAACAAGAAGATGGCGCCAATCCTGCATGTCCTACTTCGTCTCCGTCCCTTGGATAGAGATCTGTCTTATATCCGTTGTCAGAACGTTATTGAACTCGGTCTGCTCATTGAAAACACACCTAGATCCCCCGGATTATTCTTACCATCTCTTGGGCTGAGTTCCGCCTCGCTTCTTGGATATTTTTTCCGGCCCGGTTATAGTCTGGGTAGGCTTTTCCCGCCACTGCAACATGATCAACATTTGTTTGTGGTCGATTCTCTTTGCCTTACCAATAGGCCAAGCCTGCCATACCACGTCATGGTTCGGACCATTTCTGGACTCTCCCCATGTCAGATCAATTTGTTTCTGTTGGGCGAGCTCGTTGACCTGATCGAGGTAGTTTCGACTAGTGCTAAAGGTGTATTCTTTAATGGCCGTTTTCAATCGATCCATGGCAAATTTGAGACGGAATGTTGTGGACAGGCTTTGGTGAGTAGACCTGCTGGGACTCCGAAAATAACCTCCACCTCTTATACAAGCTGTATGACCCTCTCACAGGCTTGTTTGCTCCCGGGCAAGTGCTTTGAGAAAGGTGATTCAATTGTTACACATTCATGGGTTTTGGTCGTTAGTTCATTGGAAGTCTCAGTCAGGATCTCACCAACGATTCCTCTCTCTTCTACGCCACTCTGCTCGAAGGGGACCGAAGAAAACGACTGAATTATTCTTTTGTTGGCTAGATGGCGACGCCACCAATGCAGAGTTTCTCCTCAATAGCGAAGGAGGTTGCACAGTCGATTCATCATGTGCATTCTCATTGGCCATTTCTGTTGTCGTCGATGGGCCCTCCAACATCTCTCTTACGGTCCTACGGATACAGTAGCGGACAGAATATTCCGAAAGAGCTGATGGGAATTGCGATCGGTGCTCAAACACCAGTGGAAGTCCGGGCTTCGGGCCCCGGATAACAGAATTCTCAGTGATCATGCAATCATCAGCATTGGGCCTCCTCCTTCTTACAGTTGATTCAGTGGTCTGGATCCTTCAATAAATTCAGCGGCGCAAATCAGCGCCGGGCTCATAAATTGCGAACCAGATCTGCGATGTACTGCTTGGAAAAGAAACTTGGAACATCTTCGCAGCTGAATTCGACTGTGCGGCTGCCCACAGATTTCCTAGATTGTGTATCGTAATATCGAGGAATGTCTGACGGGAAAATCTGCCGGTGTGTTACGACCATCCCGCGCTTGACCAAGCGAATAGCTAGTCGTAGGCATGCCACCTTCTATTGGACTACCTCTACGGTCCTCCGTTCCGCCAAGTATGTTGATGCACTATCCATAGGTAACGGGCACTGACGGCATCGGCGCTTGTGGGCGCGTACTGAATCCACAGATTGTTGCGCGACCCGATCAATACAACATGCAGTAGAGGGTGAAGTCGCAACATATACTATATAGCCAAACTGGGCGGCCTTCATTTTTCCTACAAATAAATTGTGGCGTGGTACATAGTATTCGCAATTATCGGAGTCCCCCGAAGCACGAAGACGGTGTAATCTCTGCGCGCTCCGAATATAGTACGACAGATTTCCAAAAACTTACATGGAAAGAACAAACCGATCGTACCCGTCGAACGCGAACCAAACAAGCAATCAGAATAGTGAAGGTTGAAACCAATATAAACAATCAGCAAAAGCAAAACATGTGACGACCCTGGGATTCGAACCCAGGCCCCCGAAGAGATCAGATCCTTAGTCTGACGCCTTAGACCGCTCGGCCAGATCGCCTTGATGACTGCTCTCACGTTTGTAACATCATGAAGTTAATGTGTTTGACTCGTTCTGCCCCTCACGCGCTTCCGATTGCGGTCGTCTCGCGGCGCCTTAGCTCGCGACCTCGATGCCTAGCGAGGCAGATACTTTCCTCCCATCTATTCTGTCGGTATTCTATGCGATATTTGATCCCAAGCATGGTCCCAAAGTCGTTTACCAAGTGCCTGAGGGGCTGATCATCTACAACGAACCCTCAGATGATGAAGACGAGGGTCAGTCGTCGAATACCAGCAATGGTCCAGGAGTTCTTGCCTCTCGTGACGGCACTCACGAAACATCGGCATCGTCGACACCCTCCAGTACATCGTTGGTCGCTGGGAGCTCAGCGGAAGATGGGTCCAAACCTCCAGCGATAGCGATGCGCCAGTCGAGCAACTCACCCAAGACCAAAAGACACATCTCATCGCCCCAGAAATCTCTACCGACATACAATATGTCTGATAGAGGTACTCGTAATGGAACGCCCCCCGTTGCAGCAGGCACTGAACTGCCTGAAAGTGCTGAACCTGCAGCAGAAACTACTCGAAGTCCCCTTTTCCATTTCGACGACGTATCGAAATATGTTATACCATCTTCTGCCCTATGTGGACGCTTAGTGATCTGCACCATGCGTCAATATAGCGTTATCGGGTTTCCGGTGGCACTCAGAGGAAAGCAGTACACCCGAAACTTCTTCCGGTACAACATCTGCTTCGTCTTTCAAAGGACCGCCGACCTGAGCTGTTATGAACCAATCGTGAGAAAGATTGGGAGGGTGTTGACCGCTTGTGAGGTATATCTCTCTTGACCAAGCTACTGTAAATATTAATTTTCTTTGGCAGGAAGAATCTCATTTTCTCTCCTCGGACAGCACCTCCCCACGCATCCACGGGATACTCGAACAATTGTACGAAGATCTTAACTCTTACTCCGAGGCTTCTATCCCAGTCGATTCCTTCAATTCGCTCGAACTGAAGCTCTATCCATTCTATCCAAACCCGCCTCGAGTAGACGATTGGAGCGTGCCGCTGGCCTTCATAAATCTTGCAGAGAGGATCGAACCCAACTGGGATATCACCGTCGCTAGAGTCTGCGGGGCGATAGATGGTGTCCGATATGTGAAGAAAATTGCTAAAGATGTTGACGTTGATGATCGATTGTGCAGGGAAGCACTCGAACATTTATTGTACGTCCCTTTGGTCCATCTTTGCAAACTGTACTGAGCTTTCGTGTTGTAGGTATTACCGTTGCATCATGCTCGTGGACATATTCCAGTACAGCAATGTATACGCGTTCACTCGCTCCATTGGCTGGCTTGCGGATGAGGAGCACGTTCAAGCAGAATGTGGAGCCTACGTGACAAAACCAGGTTGTTCTCTTTCCTAATCTTGTTTGAATATACGTTAACCATCTGTGACAGGTTATGAAAGACCGGAGTGGCCCAAGTTATTCGAGCTATACGCGCGTTTCCGAATAGGAACGACCGTCATAGACTGGCAGGAATCCAACAACATAGTCAGCTTCGGAATAGATGTTCGGAGATTCATAAGCTTCGGAATTGTCAAGGTACGCTCCTCTATCGCCATCAACCGGTGTAGCACTCACAGGTTTGACCATGAAGGGCTTCCTTCGACGTGTTCATAGATATCCTGTCCTTATGGCTTCAGATGAAACTCCATCACAAGATGAACGCGAACTTGCCCCCACCCCTTCAGCCTCTGCTCTCAACCCCGCAAACATTACAACTCGCACCAGCGGTGGTGGTGGTACGAATGGTCATGGAAGCTGGGGATCCCTCCGCGAACAAGAATTCGCAGACCAAACCCCTCCAGAACTGAAGACGATCTTTCCACATACGCGTAACTGGGACGAGTCACAAATTAGATCACCGCGACGCAGTACCACGCTTTGGGATGCAGCAGCGACGCCTCATGCGAATCCAACTGGTCTTCCCACGATTACTACGATGTCATCTGCAGGCTCATTTTCGCCTTTGGATTCTACTCCTCTGGAGTCATACCATTACCCTCGTGATCGCGATCCTACGGTTTACCCAAGAAATCAGTCCGAAGATCATATACCGACTCCAACGTCGATGACGACGACGCGGAACATCCCAATTGCCATCCAAAGCTCTCGACGAAGACGAGCGTCGCAAGCTGATTCGTTAATGTCATCGTCCTTACCGAATACCACTCCCATGTCTGCCTCCACCTTTGCACCGCCGTCAGCAGCCGCAGCCGGGCTAGGTCCAGGTCCAGGCGCAACGTCTGGTCTACCTACTCCTCGACACCATCGTTCCTCAATTGATCAACCTGCGCCGCCAAGTGCCTTTGGCCTACCGTCAACAGCGAATATGCCATCTCGATTATCCCGAACTCTCTCTGCGGAGACATATGATCCAGCGTCTTCGGGGTCGACTTTACCTCCTCCTTCGGCCGCTATGGGAAGTGCGTTCCTGAATCCACCTCTTAGTCAAAGAGAAAGAGATAAAGACTGGTATCCGCCGGGGTTGAAGCACATGTTGGATGGCGATCACCAGACGGATGAGTTGTGTACGAAGTTTGAAGTGGGGTGGCCGATTCTGGAGAAGTATCTGAAGACTATTGGGGGCGTTGGAGGGAAGGGTGGGAAGGGTGGAACGAGTGGAATAGTGATGGATAAGGTCGATGAAGTGGAAGATGGATATTACGGGAAGGTGAAGATTATCTATCGATGACAGCATGAACGTTTTGATGAGGTATGTACGTATTGCGCTGTGTTCCCCGTTGCAGGTACTCAAATGAGTCTAGATTCAAACCCGAGGTCATGTTCGACACAACGCACAATTACTGAACGTCGGCCATGGATTCTTTCTGTCACCTTTCCGTTCGGGTATCCCCACGGCAACCAACTGCGTCCGTCTCACCTCTTCCTTCGCCATACTCTGCATACCACGGTGCCCGTGCCCCTCAGAGCCAAGCTCACCTCCATCTTCGAGATCTCCAGCGCAGTGATACCTGCCGTCACACCAATCACGACCTGCCATGCCGGAGCCATAGGGCATCACTTTCCGGCCATCGTGCCCTACCAATGTCATTTATAGGTTACATTCGATGTACCCCGCGCTGCAGCTGGCGAAGCCAAAATCCGTTCTAAGCTACAAATGGACGCCCGACATACGCAAAGCTGCGAGCATCGAGCTCGGCGCTACATGTGATGGAACGCATGGACTGCCAATACTGATTGGTTCACACCGTCGATGCCTTCGTACTGTCGTATCATATGGTCGGACAATCAGGCGTTAAGCGTTGTCCATTGGCGGGCCTGATGCTTATCACACATAGTTTTGACCAATAATCATCGCATTGAACCGTAATAGATACTAGTACTAAGAACAGAGAATAAGGGACGCATGTGAGAGAAAAGACAGGAAATAAATACTTAGATAAAAGCTAGGGCTACAGTTAAGGTAGAGTCATAGACGCTTCGTATCCAATGTAGAAGTTACGGGCATCTCGATGATTAGTGAGGGAGTGAGGAAATGAGTAAAGGAATCGCAAGATATCGCAAATAAAGGGAGGAGGGAGGAAAGTAAGAAATAAAGGATGTTGAAGAGAAGAAACTAGAGCACGTAAACATGTTGTCTCGAATCCCATCCCGGATTCGAATTCAGAGCGGGGACGCTATTCATCAACGCTACATTCTGCGTGCCATGGGCGATCAGGTCCGGATGGGTTTGATACGTATACTGATAAGGGTTATACGTCGAGACGCCGTCGATCACGTCGAATAGGTAGGCTTCCGACCCAGGCATGTAGGGCATTGACATCATGAGGTTATGAAGCGAAAGCCAGATGGCGTGCGCTACTGCTGCGTCATTTGCCGCATCTACATCGTTCGTCTTAGATATCTTCGAATTGTTGGAGTGGGATGATGAGGCTTACATTCGATTTGAGTTTCGGAGAGGGCAGCTTCCCAATTGCTCATAGTCACTTTGCCTTTGAGGAGACGCACACCGAGGTATTTCGCGGTGAGACGAGCCAGCCCGATTGTTTGACGCGAGTTGTACTTTGCCCATTGCGTTGGGTCGGCGAGCTTCGCTAACGTTGAAAGATCGACGAGGGACCTCGAGTTGGTCTTGTAGTCACGGTAGAGCTTCTTAGCGTCATCTATATCGCGGGGGAGGAGTTAGGATGGGCAGACGAGAAGATAGGATAGATGAACACGTACCTCCGATGCCAACACCAAGTTTGATAACACCCGCATCATCCATAATCCTCGCTAACTCCTGCGGCATGTTCAAGACTTTCTTCCCATTCGCATCAAAGCGCCACATAAAGCTCAATTGCACAATAACCACATACTCCGGATCAGCAAGCTGAACCAGAGCTACGGGATTGAGGGGGGCTCCTTTCGTGAACATCGGTTTCCATTCGATGTCAAGTCCGATTACTCCACGCCGACCGGGTGGATACCACCCAGCCAGGAAATTATTGGTGGAGACGGTCGTATTGAGGAGCACGAGCTTGGCGTAGGGGTAATGCGACTTATAGGAGAAATAGGGGAGATTGTCGGGGTTAGGAGAAGTGAGGCCTCCTGACGAAGCATCTGAGGAGTTGGTCGACACCGAGTGGATCGAAGAGGGGGACTCGGAAGCTGGACGAGGGGGTGAAGGCGTCGTGTACATTGGGCGTTGGGGGCTTTGGTAGGGCGAATAGACTAGCTGAGTATGATGGGGATGATAGTCACGATATTGAAAGCCTGGGGGGTGCTGATAGTAAGTGGTGCGTTGAATGTGCGCATGAGCTTGAGGTGGTGAGTGAACCTGGGACTGCGGTCTTGCGTAAAGTGGGTCCACGACTTCCAGGAAGCCTATGAAGGCATGTTGAGAGTTCATCGTTGGGTTTTGGTGTCGGGCACAGCTATGCGGCAGTTTTCGTCAGTTTCGTAAAATTTTCAGCGCTGAAGAAGAGCGGACGGACCTTGCTATGCCA